ATGTATCCAGCAGCTCTCTGCTCAAGGATGATATGGGGGCACACGGGCTGGTTCAGGTCCTCTTCATTGTGTGTTCAGGGGACAACTGCCACTTTAGAAAAGGTTAAAGCACTCAGCAATGGAGAGGCTACGCATGGGCCATTTTAATTTTCATGAGCCTTTATTTGTGCACTTCATTTCGACACCGAGTTAAAACCTACTTAACCCCTTGGCACTGTTGGAACACTTGCTAAAGTTGTCTAGATTAAGCAATATTTATTGCCATTCACTAGCATAGCCTGAACTGGTGATTATGAGACCTCCTTCTAAACCAGCCATTCCAGGTATCCGTAGCTCAGACACAAACTGATATATCCAATTAACTTATTTTCCCTGTCTCCTGCTAGGGCTCTAAAGGTGCCAAAGGAAGCTGGTTGCCTAAACCTCATGTCCTCTTGGTGCTAGCTGGGCTGCTCCTACTCCTTTTGTTTGTGAAGTATTTCATGGAATATTTTTGTCTTTCCCACAGTGGAAAGCAAGCTCTATCCATTCAAGCAGAACCTTTGGAAAAGCAATCCTTTGTTTCTCATTTTTATAACTCATTTATAATGTTTAGGACATTCCGAGAGCTGGATACTACTAACGTGATAAATGAAGATACAGAGGCAATGGCTTGAGTAATGCTAGGCTTGTGTGCCTGTTGCAACTTTGGTAAAACCAGAAACATGTGAGAGAGGGTTTTTTTCTTTTTTTTTAAATCCTCACCATCTTTTGCTAAGTCTAGTCACATAGCACAGACATTCTAACCAGTCTGTGATTAATTAGCTAGAGATCTGCAACAACTCCTCTTCATGACTAAATATTTTTTTAGTCTATCAAACTGTTAGTGCAAAGTGGGATAAATGACACTAGAGGGCCAATGATCCTGACCTGGAGGTTCTGTTGCTCATTGAGGCTCCAGATGCTAAGCACCTTTTCAGATGAGCCCGAGATCCCCTTGGCCTTCTCCGAGTCAAAGTCAAGGCTCATCACTGGCTCCTGGTGGCAAACAAGTTGGCTCAACGCTTTTCCCATTGACAAATTCCAAAGGACCACTGATCCATCTTCATAGCCAGCCAGAAGCAAAGGTTGTGAACCACAGTTGAGCTGATCAAGGGAAAAGTAAAATTGTTTGAGAAGTAAATAGTCTGTTAGGAAAATTATCATCCCCAGGTAGGTTTCAGTCCAAACACCAAGAAAATAAATGAAAATGCTGACTGGCGTAGAAGTGAAAAGTTTAGAAGTCTGAATGTCCAATCTTGATAGTCCATCCACTTACAAAAAGTGTTACTAGGTAACTGCTGACATGCACTTATGTTTTTTATATCCACATATAAAAGTCTATGTTTTATATATATAATATGTATCTAACATATACATATATATACGCACATATAGAAAATTTCTCTCTGAAAATCCAAACTATTGCCCTCTACAACAGCTGAAAAAAGGCTGCCTATGTTTTCAGAAGTTTTCCTTCATGGCCTGAACTTTGATTGTGCTCCTTAAAAAAAATACTTAGAGCAGCTGAGTTACTATCAAGCTATACAAACCCGTATGGACATTGAAAGAAGCGCCATGCTTAAAGATTCCAGTTTCACATTGCCAAGTGTAGGGTTACACGTACGGATCGTTTACCCAAGTCCACCACAGTGCTTAAAGGTAAAAGGTAAACACTGAACCTCTCATCAGGAATCTCTGGGTGAGTCACCAAGGGGTTAACAGGCGCCCGAGTCCCACTGTAACCAATTGAAAGCTATTTTGATTAATGATGTCACAGGCCAAAGGGCATGGCACCCTGGGCAGACACCTAATTTATTTAAGCCTCTGAAATAACTCAAAGAAGGGAACATTACTGGATTACATGTCACACTTAAGGAAAATATTCATCATTGCTCCAGCCAAAAGACTAATGACCCCATGAGCAGTAACCGGTTATGTGAGTGAAGATGCAAATCCCTAATGAAAAGCAACTAAAAAACAGGCATCTGTTAATGCCAGTTATTTCTTTAACAGGAGAAGAAACACCAAAATAGACATTGGGATTACGACTACCTCATGCAGGGACATCTTACCCTAAGAAATGTATCCAATAGCTTATTCAGCTCTTTCCAAACACCGTCTGATCCTACAGGATTCATTTGCTTGGTATTCAGTTCAAAATAAAGGTAAAGAACATTTATAAAGAATTAATCTTTACTGGCATCACATTGTTGAATGAGGTTCTTCAAACTGGCTGGCTGCCAATGTCATGATACAAACCTGCAGTGGCCAAAGGCTCACTGCCTCTATTAATGGTCCAGACTATTCTCCCACTGGTTATTATTTGCTCTAGGGGGAGTTAAACTAACAAGAGATGGGTGGTCTAGGTAGTAAGACTGCTGAGTAAAAGCCTTATGTTCTTTCTCAGATTTATTCAGCCTAAAGAAGTGTTTAAATGAGGAATGGATCTCGCTGAGCGGGGAAGAAAATTGCCCCTTAGAAGAAGGAAACCGAGGAGAAATCCCCTACATCATCCTTCTGAACAGGTCTGCCCACACCTGGGATCCTGCAGGAGCCTCACTCCTTGCTTCAAGACCCCTTTTCTTTTGAAAAGGCAGGGAGCGTGCTCTGGCTAGAAAGGCCCACAAAGAAGATGTCCCATAATGCCCGGAACTGTGCACGATTTTTCTGTCAAATTTTTGATTTGCTAAAATAACGTAACATCAGAGCAACGAATATATGTCAAATATATGTGAATTAATGTTAACTCATCAGGTATTTTGGATGAAGAGTACCTGGTTTTTAATACCAGGGGAAAAGTTAAAAAAACAAATCTGAATGAAATGAACATTCCAGATTTTATTTATATTTAATAAAGGGTAAAACCTTCAAAGCAAAACAAAGTATTTCACAGGTACTTCAATTAAGTTTAAAAAAAGCCCCCAGTTTGGGCACCCACCCCCCCCTGTACTGCTCTTCTAAGAGAGCACTTGACTTCTCCAGAGCCCTGGGGCTCTACAGAAGGTAGAGCTTTCATTAGCCAATGAAACAAGATTTGGATGGGCAGGGTCGGCTCCTCTGCCTTACTCAAAACAGGATGGCCAGATTTTCATAGGTGCTCATAACCCTCATTAAGATAAGAGAGATAGGTGAGTGCTCAGCATCATGGGAAATGCCAAGCAAAACCTTTTTTTTTTTCTTTTTTATGCTGTGGGAATCTTAGCTTAGATTTGAAAACCAGTAATTTGCAGGTGAGATCTAAGGCTGGTCTATTTTAAAAACAGAGTATTGTTTCCTATGACATGAAGATCTCCCACGCTGCTTCTTCCTGACTTTCCCTAACCATATGAAGCGTAATATTTCAATGAGTACATATACTTGAACTTAAACAATAAGCTATTGAAAGATCAGGGGAGCTCTCAGTCTGATGCCTGGACTCACCAAGCAGTGGTTCACAACGGCCTATTTATTTCAGTTCCTAAAAATGGACACTTCTGGCAAAAAGTCTTCACCATTCATGTTCTGTGTCAGTGGAAAAATTAAATTATAAATCATT